CGGCTTTATGGTTTATGTCCTCTCTCTCCTCAGCTGGTGGAGCTGAAGAATGGAGAGACATACAACGGCCACCTTGTCAGCTGCGACAACTGGATGAACATCAACCTGAGAGAAGTTATCTGCACCTCAAGGGTAAAGCTAAACTCTGCGATCACTTTAGACACTTCCAGCAGCGAGAGAGGAAAAGTAGCAATAGACATCTCTGTGGTCCAGTGTTAACATGTAGCTTTAGCTGTAGGTGTCAGTGTTGTCTGCAGAGTCTCTTGCTGTAGATAAGTTGCATCACTCTGAAAATATAACGGGCAACAAAATATTATGGCCATTAATCACAGAGGCTTTTAACAGTCACTCCATAGTTCATACTTTTAAGATTAATTAAATTTTTTTGGTCCAGTACTTTTGTGTTTTTTATCTTCTACTGTTGTTACTAGTTGATCCAGCCTCTCAATGTTTAATTTCAGGTGTCATAATTTACTAAACATGCTACTGTGGCTGAAATTAACAATTAATTAACTTACTAATTTATCAGTGAGTCTACAAAACGCTGATCAGGGCAAATTGCTTATAAAGTCTAATGTCAAATACAGCAATCCTTTGCATTGGATTTGCTGATCAGCAAACATTTCTCTGGATAACTGACCGAAGAGATTAATCAGTTTTGAAAATGTGAATCATTTACCCCTCTGTTGATTTATTACTTAATTATTCCACCAGTCAGTTAAGCATTTGTTCCCATTTTGCAGTTGTGAAGTGTGAATAGAATCTCACTTGAAAAGACCCTCCGATTATTCTGTATCAAAATGATGGTGGGCAAAAAGCCAAAACGTTAAATGAAGGTAAATGACTGAGCAAACACAAATTTATTTTGGCCTGTAAATAATTACTAAAAAAAGGGTGAAAAAGCTACAAGAAAAATAGCAATTCTGCCAATCAAAGTACAATAGAAAACATAGGACAGAGATCCTCAACAGACCTCAAAGATGTAGACTGAAACTTTTTAAAAGTGACATTACTCTTAGGATGCGTTAACACCCCCACTCCCCTCTGGCAGGATGGAGATAAGTTCTGGAGGATGCCCGAGTGCTACATCAGAGGAAGCACCATCAAGTATCTGCGAATTCCAGACGAGATCATCGACATGGTGAAGGAGGAGGTTGTGTCGAAGGGCCGCGGACGTGGAGGCACCCAGCAGAACAAACAGCAGGGCAAAGGAAGAGGAGGAGCCGGCCGCGGTGAGTGGAAACACACGCTGCAGCTGAGGGCCGTTTGTGTCCTGTTTCCAAACTTCTCTGCTAATATAAAGCGCACACCCTCTCAGGATCATCACTTTTGCCCAAAACATTAAAATGCTTCATTAATTTATGTGTTTTTAAAGCAATTATCAGTTAGGATCATTGTGCTCTAGAAAAAGTAAAAAGTTGTAAATTATTCCCAGATATGTGTACAGACCACATTTTTATTTCTATGTACACAACATTTTTTGACTTCTTGTCATTCATGAACTGGGATAGTGGCACACAGAAATACTCTACAAGCCAGATGAGGGCTCAAGGTGTTTTTGTTTGCATGTTTTTTTTGAGCGCGACTATCACAGTACCTGTATTCACCTCAGCACCTTGTTCACTCAAAGTGAAACCTGTCAGACATTAGATGACTTGACTAAATCTGGCAAACTAAGTGATTACACATATTTTTCTGTCTGAACAAAACTGACCATAGCTAACAAAGATGACATTCCTCTCTCCACCTCTGGCCCTCTCTGTAGGTCTGTTCGGTGGCCGTGGCAGGGGAATGACCGGCCCTGGTCGGGGACAGCAGCAACAGCAACAGCAACAGCCGCAGCAGCAGGATAAGAAAATGGGCAAACCACAGGGAATGAAGAACCAGCACTAAGAGACAACATTAAACCATCAACAACACATAACTCAGTGATTACTCCTTCAGTACATGAAGATAAAATTAACTCTCTGGTGTTTCTTTCTGCTGTGATATTTGTCAAGACTGACCATTGTAGAAATCACACTGGGAGAAGTAAAGAGAAGCTGTGCTTTTGCACTGAATTTTGTTTTTTAGCATCTGTAAGTTGCTTTTTTTTATTATGACCACGTACCAGTGTATCAGTCTCAGACTCCTTCTTTAGTATCAATGTATATGTATCATTACAACTTTGCAAGAATGTTTTGTATCATAAATCACATTATATTATCCCAAAAAACAGTTTTCCATCAGTTGGTACACTGGAATTAGGTTTTTATTTTAATTTCTTTGGTGGTAGTTTTCATGGTAAAGAAACTGCCCTGCCCCAACTTATGTTGCATGAATATTTTTTTTTAACTTGCTCTTTATTTTTGTGTTGTCTGTAAAGTTCTGTGGTTTTGCAACCTTTTTGTTTGTCTGCTGCGCTGTACGGTCCGATCACAGCAGTAGATTGACAGTCAGGGAACGAGGAATCAGCCCCTGAAAATCAACACTTTTGTTAAAGCATTTCTAAGATGACACATAATAATTACGATTTCCAAAAAAAAAAAAAAAATCTCATTTTCTTAAGTCTGAAATGATTAAGTCCAACGTGTTTCGTGTTGGTTGGGTTTCATTTTATTTTTGTAGCTAAAGACGGTGTTGTAATTTATTTACATGAGAACATGAGAATAAAACAACTTTTGTTAAAGCTGTTGTATTTATTTAGAACTGATCGTCCTTTTAAAGATTCAATCACAGCTTGCTGCTGTTGGTTCTCTTCAGATATGTTACTGTTACATTTAGTGTGTCCTTTAAAGATTCAGTGTGCAGAATTTAGGGGCATCTAGCTGTGTACTTAGAGATCGTAACTCCCTCTTTTTACCCCCCCCCTCCAAGTGTGAAAGAGAAACTAGTGACAGTGAAACATTCCCCTATCAAGAGCCTGTGTGCGGTTTGTCCCTTCTGGGCTACTGTAGATACATGGCAGACTCCATATAATGCGACCCAGTCCTGTAGATAAAAAATTTTCATTCTAACAAAAACATAATTCCTATTCTCGGGTGATTGTACACTAATGAAAACATATATGAATATTATATTCTGTTTCTGCTAATAGATCCTCCTAAAAGTTACAGACTGGATCTTTAAAATAGTGATTATGATTTTTGATTTGACGTCTTGATGTTCAGGGTTTACTAATGTGGACAATATGCTGTATAATGAATACAAAAGTTAAAATCTAATGAAAAGGTTCAGCAAAGTCTTGTCAGTTCATATGAATGGGACCAAGAAAAGATTCAAATTATTTATTTTAGTAGCATAAATCTTACACATTGTCTTTAAAGTTTTGAAAAACACAATTACATGTAAACTTGATGAAAGGTTGGAATACCAAATCCTGCTCTGATTCCTGCTAAGAATCTAATTTCTCACAATAAAAAGAACCAGATTGCATCTTAATCAATTACAGAAAGCTTAACAGATACATTTAGTACGACTGGATCAGCAGATCAATTGTGTCTTTCTTGGATCAGATTGGAATTAAAAGTGACTCTAACTGAATCTAATAGATAATAATAATATCTTAACAGTCTCAATCTAAAAAAAAACTTTGCACATAAAAGAATACATACTTTCAATATGATTGACAATGTCTCAGGTAAGTATATATAAACTGATTTAATGATTAGTAAATACAAATGACATAATTTCAAATTGTAATAATCACTCCTATAATAAAAACTAACATATGAACATTTATATATTTGACTTGTTTGACATAGTTGGATTAAAAATAAGACTTAAAATGTAAAAAAAAAAAAGGATTTTAGATTTTCTGAAATTAGAAAACTTCAGTAAAGAGTTCACACACACATATCCAGGCTTTCAAACATCCTTGTGGTCACACACTATGACCATGATTGTCTAGACTCTAAAACCTAAAACATGTCGAGACTGAACAAAAAAACCAAACATAAATCAGATAAATCAAATACATCAAAAAATATCCAGTCTCTTCCACACAAACCTTCTCAGCTATGTGTCTGATAATTCTACCATAATTTCTTTTAAAGATTTGTTTTAAGATAAAAAGAAAGTGTAATAAAAGTAAAAAGTTAAATGACCACCCTGCAGATTCATTACCTTGACTATAAAATGGTGGTCAAACAATAAAATAAACTTTATGCAAAAGATGTAAAAAATAATCCTGAAACTGATAATAAAAACATCTATATTTGTCAAAGGCATACAACATTTTCCTCTTATAATCTAAAACATGTTGAGACTGAACAAAAAAACCCAAACATAAATCAGATACAAACAGAACATAAATCAGATAAATCAAAGACATCAAACAATATCCAATCTCTTCTACACAAACCTTCTCAGCTATGTGTCTGATAATTCTACCATAATTTCTTTTAAAGATTTCTTTTAAGATAAAATATTTTTGTAATAAAAAGTAAAAAAAAAAAAAAACGTATAATAAAAGTAAAAAGTTAATTGCACCACCTTGCAGATTCATTATCTTGACTATAAAATGGTGGTCAAACAATAAAATAAGCTTTATCCAAAAGATGTTAAAAATAAATCCTGAAACAAATAACAAATACAAATAATATAAAACACCTTTTTTAATTATTTCAACTATATTGATAAACTGTAAATGATCAGCTGGCTCATGTTAACACTAAATAAACTGTATATATTCAAAGCTTCCTGCATTCAGGTTTAATAATTCTTGGTATGCTTCATTGGTTTTTAAGAGCCTTGAGTTGTTTGTTATCCTTCATACAAAATTCAATAACAGAAAAATATTTAAAAGATTTATATATATTAAAATGTTGGGCCCCCTGGTAGCTCACTTTGTAGAGCACATACCACATATGGGCCCTTTGCTGTATGTCATCCTCTCATCTTCACTGTCACGATCCAAATAAAGCAAAAAGGTACAAAAGGTAAATCTAATTCTCTAAACTCTTCCAATTCATCCCTCCATCATCCATTCCTGTTTGGCTGTGATGGCGTATTTCCAGGTCTCCACAATCTTGGAGAGCTTCAGACCTTCAGGAAACTTGTCTTCTACGTAAAGAGGCACCTCCACTTCTTTACGGTCCATGTAGGCAGCCACAGTCTCTTTCACACTGAGAAGAAGGAACAAATATGAATCTTAACACATTACTTTCTCAGTTGTGTTCAAAAGAAGGTCCACGTTTACATATTTAGCCACCTGACAACCTGGGGGAACAACACTTCCCCACTCACAGCATATAACATCAAGCATATACAATCAACATAAAGGAAAGGAAACAAAATTATTCCATTTATGATACTTGTACTTTCCTACAGAATTATTAATGGAAATATTAATAA